TTTGTAAGAAGACTTTTAAATCATCCCAAAGACCAACTTCCCAGGTACCCAGTATGGAAAAGAGTATTCAGGAATGCACATGAGAGGCTTAATGGACCAAGTCTGAAAACAGTATACATCACTCTTGTTTGTGGTTGGGACTGGTTCATGTGGCCACACTTGTTACAGGTGAGACTAGGTAGCAAACTCTAACTGTGTGTTTAGGAAGAAGAGGAAAATGAATTTGGTGAATGGCTAGCAGTCTTGACTACAAAGGCCCAGGAGACAAGTTGGAAGATACCATTATCTATGGATTAGGAGGAAAGGAAAAGTGGTACATGATAATAGTAAGAATTACATTGAACTTATATTAACTTCTCATTGTGGGCAAGGCATTGAATGTTATTTATTTTCACATTTAAAGATCATTGTGATTTTGTGAGAAAAGTAAAATCATTATTGCAACTTCAGTGGTGAGTGAACTGAGGTCTAGCAAAGTTAGAGAAACCTTAGGTCATAGAGCTAGTATGTAGCAAGTCTACCTGACTCCAAAGCTTATGCTTACTAATATTGTGGTGGATTAAGATTTACCAGAAATGTAAGAAGAAAACAATATTTTATTTGACTACTCTATTTATGGGTGAATGCCACCCAGCTGGATACCTTTATACAGAATTCAGGTCACCCTCACTTGCAGCTTCTGAAATTCACAAGACCACACTTATGTTCAGTCATTCATTAGAAGGACTCAGAATTTACCGAAGGCTGTTTTACTCACCTTTATGACCTTTTACAGTGAAAGGAAAGTGGAAGTGTTAGTCACTTAGTCGTGTCCGACTCTTTACAACACCATGGACTGTAGTTTGCCAGGCTCCTCTGTTCATGGAATTCTCCAGGCAGGAATGCTAGAGTGAGTAGCCATTCTCTTCTCCAAGGGATCATCACAACTCACGGACTGAACCTGGATTTCCCACATTGCAGGCAGATTCTTTACCATCTGAGTTGCCAGGGAATCCCAATACAGTGAAAGGACACAGGTTCAAATCAGCCTCGAGAAGAGGTGCATGGTGCAGAATCCAGGAGATTCTTATACAAGGAGCTTCCAGCTGTTCTCTCCCAGTAAATTTGTGACAGAGCTAACTTCTCCCGGCAGCCATGGTGGGAATGTATATATGGTGTATTGCCACTAAGGAAGCACATCTAAACCTTGGTGACCAACGTTTAATTGGGGCTTAGTCATGTGGACATGGCTGACCACCTGTGTGGTTGACCGTAGCCACTTGACCCTCTGGAGGTTGAGTTGACATATGCCCCACCATAAGTCAGTGCTATTTTAGTGTATCCAGTATGACCCAGGGTCCCCAGGTAAACAAAGATACAGTTATCAGGCAAGACATCCCAGGCACTTAAATTACCATCCTCTAGTTGAGGGCAAAGGTCAAACCTCTCTTTGGGTAAGGTTACTTCTTTCTGATGCATTGGACAAGACAGATGCACAAGAAGAGGATGAGACAGGGAAAATATAATCTAAGAAAGGTATGTTTCATGTTTTCCTTGCATGACTGGCTTTTTCTTGCATGCTTCTGTTTCTTTCGTGATTTTGAGAGATTGTCAAGTCTCTCAGGCATTCATGTTTACTTCTCATGGTGTATGACTCTGAGCTAAAGGACAGGTAAAAAAGTAATTATCCTTTCTACTCTTTGGAACCTTTTATAACAAGAATGTGATTCATTCATTGATTCTTAGCCTCATCTTTTCAGTTCTCTAAATTTATTTATCATCTACTGTTTGCACGGTGCTAAGTGCTGGACATTTAATGTCCATATGAAGGTTAGAATCTAGCGTATGAAGGAAACATGAATCAAATAGTCATGCTGATGAATGAATAATTGCCATCTGGGATAAACGACGGGAGGTAAACATGGTTTTATGAGAGTAGCTAACAAAATGACTCCAATTTGAGGGTCAGTGTTGGCTTCTTTGAGAAAGTAACACTCAATTTGGTGACCAAAGGGTAAATAGAAATTAACCACATAAGTGAGAATGGAGAGGAATAAATAATTGGGATACAGTAAGCAATAGACAGTGAAACAATTTTAGTTAAGAAAGCATCAAATTCAGTGGACCTGGGATGAGAGGTTCCTTGGTCTGCTGGGGAAATACGAGGAGGCCAGTGTGACGGCACATCAGAGGCCGAGAGGGAGAGAGATAGTAGACGAGGTAACTGAACAGGGAAAGGAAGAGACGAGTGGGGCAGGGACACCAGTCGGGGGGCTATCGGGAATATTCCAAGCCAGAGGGGATGGAGCATCAGGTGGTAGCAGTAGAGGTTGTGAAAATTAATTGGGTTTCATTTTGAAACTGAAGTCAGTAACATTATTTCTCAAACCCAGTTCCATCAGGCTTTCTTCCTTCTCATTCCACTGTTAGGACTTTTGTCAAGATCGTCAGTGACTTAACACGTTCACATGGAGAAATCCAATGGCCAGTTCTCAGTCTTCAGCTTTTGATGCAGACCTTCTAGGGGCACTTTCTTCCTGGAAACGTTACACTCTTTTTTTGTTTTCCTTGTCCCTCAATGGCCACTCCATCCCAGTCTCCTTTGCTGGATCTTTCCTATGGTCTCAAACTCTTAAATGCTGGAATGTTCCACAGTTCAGAAATCAGAGCTTTCCATCCACATTGAGCCCTCAGGGTTTTCCATTCAGTTCTCTTGGCTTTAGATCAGTTAACGGTTGCCTCCCAAATTATTCATACAGTACAGACCTCTTCTTTGAACTTTAGACTTATAAAAAACAGCCTTCTCAACATCTTCACTTGAAGGTCTAATAAGCATCTCAGAATTTCACATCCTCAAAACTGAACTCTTACTGCAGTGATCATTTCATAATGTATTAAAATATTGAACACTATATTATACCCCTGAAACTAATATATTAAATGTTAATTATAACTCAGTTGAAAATAAAGTAAAACAAGAACCTGAACTCTTGACTTACTCCCTAAATCTGCTCTTACTCTAGTCTTCTCCCTTAATGCTCAGTAAATGGTGTTTCCATTCTTACAACTGCAAGCATTTGCTGAAAATTTCAGACTAGTGAAAGCAGACTCTCTGGGGATGGGATGATAGTCAGGTATTTGTCAAAGCTCACCAGGTCATTTTAATGAGCAATCGGAGTTGAGAAGCAGCGTGTTTGATCCAGCACCTTTTTCTTCCCTTCTTCTCTTACAAATGTCAGGCTTTCTAATCAGGTTCCCCACTCAGGAGTGAAGCTAGTTCATCTTAGCAGTAGCAGTCCTTGCTGTGCCTGGATAGTGATCAGCAAGCCCCCAAGTGCTTGCAGGGGATGGGGGGTCTTCAGTGCAGGGCCATACCAACTGGCCTAGCGTGAATGAAGCCTCCCAGCCCAGTGAGTCACCGAGGCTCTCATGTCTCTGACTGCCAGGTCTTGCCTGCTCCTACCCAGCTTCCTTGACCTACCAGGACCTAATTGCTGGCCTGCCTAGATTGGTATTATCAAGGATTTTTGAACTTTCCCCCCACTGCAACATTTTACACTTCACTTTTTAAAAGAGTTTGTGGGATTTCTGCTATAGTAAATATTCCTAGTATTTGCTGCTATAATTATTTGTTTAGTTTCCATGTTCATTGGTAGGTTTTACTATACACTAACTCCGTGCCTGGGCTTCCCAGGTGGTGTGAGTGGTAAAGAAGCCGCCTGCCAATGCAGGAGACTTGAGAGATGCAGGTTCAATCCTTGGGTTGGGAAGATGCCCTGGAGAAGGAAATGGCAACCCACTCCAGTATTCTTGCCTGGAGAATCCTAGAGGAGCCTGGTGGGCTACAGTCCATGGGATTGCAAAGAGTCAGATATGACTGATGCGACTTGGCACACAACCCAGTGCCTGGCACCAGGGTTGTGGAAAAATGCTTACTAAATGAATTGAAGAATAAAACAATGGAAAGAAATTCTACAGATGGTTGTAAGTTAAAGCTGGATACTAAATTCCCAGTTGTAGAATATTTTAGTTGGTTGAGCTTGATTTCTTTAGGATAACTGGCAGAGCATTTTCTTTTAATTAGCTTTTTATATTGTTTTCATCCGTCACTATCTGGAAACTTTTAGGGTTCCAAGTGAAGTGAAGTGAAAATCATCCAGTCATGTCCGACTTTTTGTGACCCCATGGACTATACAGTCCATGGAATTCTCCAGGCCAGAATACTGGAGTGGGTAGCCTTTCCGTTCTCCAGGGGATCTTCCCAACCCAGGGATCGAACCCAGGTCTCCTGAATTGCAGGTGAATTCTTTACCAGCTGAGCCACAAGGGAAGCCCATAGGGTTCCAAACCTACAGCTATTCTGTTTGCTACTGGAAGTATGTAAATATTTTTAGAAGCAGGGAAATCATTCAATTTGGAGAACTTAGAATTGGGTGAAGGCCCTATTGAACTGGTAATCGGTTTAAATTGGTTGAAATTTGTTATGCTTTTTGTCTATACAGTGACTTAAAACTAACTTTTAAGAAGCTTCTGGTTTAGAAGTATAATTTACCCATTAATGATATAAATGTATGTTCAATAAGTATTTAAAATCCTTTAGTACTATTATCCTCCTTAGCTAATTTGTTAAAAATAATCAACTTTTAGTAGAATTTTGGTCTCAATTGTCGTGGACTCTGCAGTGGGCCTGGATGAATAAGGCCTTAGGTTGAGTAACTTGAGGGTTTTTCCCCTTGTTTAGTATATGTTTCAAAGGTGACCACAGGCATAGTTAAAGTATCTTTAGAGCTAACATGTTCATTCATTATTGCTCAGAATTTTTTCGAACACCTTTTCCCATTTCTAGAATGTCAGTAGGACCAACCGTAGCAGTATTGTCAGGAGTAAAATGAGATGTCTTTAGACTGCTGGGATTCACTAGTTTTCTTCCAAAATCTGAGATCCACTCTCCACCCTCCCCCACCCCCGCCTCACTTATGTCTGAAAAGAAAATTGAAGTCAGATGTGTCTTTTCTTTCCAGGAAAATGCCGTGAACGGAGAGCACCTGTGGCTGGAGACCAACGTCTCGGGAGACCTGTGCTACCTGGGGGAGGAGAGCTGCCAAGTCAGATTTGCAGTGAGTGTGCGCCCGGCTCCCCTGTGGTCTGGCCTTTGTGGGGGGAGCCTTGTGGGTAATTGAATCAGAGGGCAGCTGGGGTAACCTCGCCTGAATTTCCAAGGAGAGGTTTGAAAGAGCCGTCCCTATGAGACAGTCGACAGATTTTATCAAATTAGCACGGCTTTCAAGGGGTCGTTTGAATGGTTTTAGGTGTTTTCCTTGATTCTGCAGGTGGAACTGTGGAGTAATGTGCTACTTTGTGATGATACCCAGGGTGGGTATTTGTTCATGTCTGGGGGTGGGGTGTCTTGTGGGGAGAGGCCTGTGTGTGGAGGAAGGGTCTCTCTGGGAGGGGGCTCTCCTTCTAGGGGAGCGTGTGTGGTAGAGGGCACTACTCCTGGGCAAAGCTGGAGATGAGTGCAAACCTTGGTCTGGTGGTGGGTGCAGGCTCACAAATAATTAGGACTGGGCTCCAGATGATAAAATTCTAGGAACTATTAATATATACGTGAATGACATTCAGTTACATTAAGAGTGGCTTTAGAAAATTTGCTTTGTCCCTATTTGTAACAGAGTTTGAATATTAAATCCTCTTTATGTTCTGTGAAAAGAGCATGGTTGCCAGGCAGTAAGTTGGGAAGAACTAAAATTTTAGTATTGAGAAAGTGAACTTAAAGTTTTTGTGTGGTTTCAAATGATGGTTCTGAAAAGAAAGTAATGGGAAATTTAGAGTAGTAAAAAAAAAAAAGAAAGAAAAGATGCATTATTTCTTATTTGGGGGAAATTGGCATCATAATTGACCTAATAATAATTTTTTTCTTTTTGATTATGCTTGCTTATTATGTGAAAGAAAGATTGGGGCAAAATGCAGAACCTAGAAATTGCGAATGACTATGTTTCTGTGAATAATGAGGAAGGAAGAAATTGAGTTTCTGCCAAAGTTTCTGGAAGAATATAGAACCCAGGGACTTTTATTAGGCTGCCTGGAATCACAAAGCTGGGGAACAAAGATCTTTAAAATTACATCAGCTGTTTTGATACCTAGTTTATAGGTTTTGTTTGAAAAACTTTATGAGAGTTTGGAGGACCAAGGTTTGTTTGCGTGAGGGTGGAACAGTTAAATATCAGTTAAAGACCCAGCTGTACAGGCTCTCAATTCAAAGTCAGGAAACCTGGATTTGAGTCTCCATGTTACCACTGGCTGTGTGACATTGAAAACGCCTGACCTTTGAGTGTTGGCCACCTTCAAGGTAGAAAAATGGAGTAGGATTCAATTAATTTTGTTTCCAACTCAGATCTGTACTTTGTTGTTTGCATTTTTTTAAATGTAGTTGTAAATTCAGTTGATTTAAACATCATTTCAACTTTATGCATATGCATTTTCAATTAAAGTATAATTGCGTGAAATTCGATTAAATTAACCAAAACCACGAGAAGCTCAGCTGTTTGGACTAAAAAGCTATAAATGATGAATTAGCATTTGGATCTTAGTTAATTGCGCAAATACTGGTCTTGATAATGGAAAATGGAAAAAATGAAAGCCAATTCTTCCTGCATGTGTACTTTTGAACTGTTATCTACTGATGTTGCTGCCAACTAATAGACCGTAATTTTATGGGGTTCTGCCTTATTTCTAGATTACTCTTTGATCCTTTTCTGATGGTCCCTTAGGGTCAGCCATACGTTACCTCTCTTGACAAAAATATGAACAGATACCTACATCCTCCTTAACCTTTGTTTCAGTAAATAGCACTAATTGATTATAACTTGGTCACTATTACCTCTAGGCCAGGAAAGTAATAAAAAAGGAAATTTTAGGGAGTTGTAAGTAGATAATGGAGTTATGAGAATTTCTAATGTTCTTTTGAACCTTCCTTATGCTTGCATCCCAAATACTTGGCTCTCTTAGCTTACCTTACAAAGTGTCTGGAAGATAAAGATCTCTCCTCCCAAAAACATTAATTAAATGAAGGCATAAGTTAGTGAGGAAGCTGAAGATCTAACTGTGCTTCCTCATTTCACGTTCTTGAAGGCTCAGTTTCTTTACTTGTAAAGTAAGGGAAATATTGTTTTGAGGATTAGGTGAGATAATGCATTGAATCGGCTTACTTGTCAGACAGACAATGAATTAAAAGAGGAAAAAAAAAGCCTACAAAGGAGAAGAGCAGACAATTTACGAAGGAACAACCACTGGCATATATATATATATATATATATATATATATAATAATCAATCTGATTTCGGTGTCGACCATCTGGTGATGTCCATGTGTAGAGTCTTCTCTTGTGTTGTTGGAAGACGGTGTTTGCTATGACCAGTGCGTTCTCTTGGCAAAACTCTATTAGCCTTTGCCCTGCTTCATTCCATACTCCAAGGCCAAATTTGCCTGTTACTTCAAGTGTTTCTTGACTTCCTACTTTTGCATTCCAGTCCCCTATAATGAAAAGGACATCCTTTTTGGGTGTTAGTTCTAAAAGGTCTTGTAGGTCTTCATAGGACCGTTCAACTTCAGCTTCTTCAGCGTTACTGGTTGGGGTATAGGCTTGGATTACCGTGGTATTGAATGGTTTGCCATGGAAACGATCAGAGATCATTCTGTCGTTTTTGAGATTGCATCCAAGTACTGCATTTCAGACTCTCTTGTTGACCATGACGGCTACTCCATTTATTCTAAGAGATTCCTGCCCACAGTAGTAGATATAATGGTCATCTGAGTTAAATTCACCCATTCCAGTCCATTTTAGTTCACTGATTCCTAAAATGTCAATGTTCACTCTTGCCATCTCCTGTTTGACCACTTCCAATTTGCCTTGATTCATGGACCTGACAGTCCAGGTTTCTATGCAATATTGCTCATTACAGCATTGGACCTTGCTTCTATCATGAGTCACATCCACAACTGTGTGTTGTTTTTGCTTTGGCTCCATCTCTTCCTTCTTTCTGGAGTTATTTCTCCCCTGATCTCCAGTAGCATATTGGGCACCTACCGACCTGGGGAGTTCATCTTTCAGTGTCCTATCTTTTTGTCTTTTCATACTGTTCATGGGGTTCTCAAGGCAAGAATACTGAAGTGTTTTGCCATTCCCTTCTCCAGTGGACCACATTCTGTCAGACCTCTCCACCATGACCCTACCGTCTTGGGTGGCTCCACACGGCATGGCTTAGTTTCATTGAGTTAGACAAGGCTGTGGTCCTGGGATCAGATTGGCTAGTTTTCTGTGATTATGGTTTAGTATGTCTGCCCTCTGATGCCCTCTTGCAACACCTACCCTCTTACTTGGGTTTTTCTTACCTTGGACGAGAGTTATCTCTTCACGGCTGCCCCTCCTGACCTTGAACATGGAGTAGCTCCTCTTGGCCCTCCTGCAACCGTGCAACCACTGTTCCTTGGTTGGGGGGTAGCTCCTCTCAGCCGCCACCCCAGTGGTGTTGGAAAAGACTCCTGAGAGTCCCTTGGACTGCAAGGAGAGCCAACCAGTCCATCCTAAAGGAGATCAGTCCTGGGTGTTCATTGGAAGGACTGATGCTGAAGCTGAAACTCCAGTACTTTGGCCACCTCATGTGAAGAGTTGACTCATTGGAAAAGACCCTGATGCTGGGAGGGATTGGGGACAGGAGGAGAAGGGGACGACAGAGGATGAGATGGCTGGATGGCATCACCGACTCTATGGAAATGAGTTTGAGTAGTCTCCAGGAGTTGGTGATGGACAGGGAGGCCTGGCATCCTGCGATTCATGAGGTAGCAAAGAGTTGGACGTGACTGAACTGAACTGATATATAATAAAGGCACCCAAATTAAAACAGCTATGAAGAGTCAACATCATGTATCAAACAAAAATTTACTTTGTTAACAAGATTTACTCCCTCTCTGGCTAGTTTGGAACAAAACTGGTTTTCTCATTATCAAAATTGTCCATATGTATTCATAATGAAAGCATTAGAAAACCTAGCATGCTGTCTCCACCTCATTTTGGCATCACGTTTTAGGAAGAACATTGACAAAGAGAAGACCCAGGAGAGTGTACTCAAGTTAGTTCAGTGTAGGAAACTTTGTAGTAGAAGGAAGGAGAGGAAACTCTCCTATAGAAGAGAGGGGGAAGTTGGGAGGGGCTATGATAAACAAAGTCCATTGAGGGAAACTGAAAGTTTGAAGTATAGTGGTTTTTCATTGGCTGAGCTGTTGCCAGCTAAAGGGAAAAAAAACTTTCTTCCTCTTTATGGTGATAGTAAAGCAGTGTTACTTCCTGCCGGAGGTGCAAAGTACACCTCTTTCTGTTGGGATCTGAGAGGGGGCTTTCCAAGTGTCTTTTTCAATAGATGAGATCTCCAGGTTGCAAGGTTTGATGCTTGAGGTCTTCATTTCCATGACTATGTTTTCCCTTTGGTGACCATGAGTTTGTTTTTGAAGTCTGTAAGTCTGTTTTTGTTTTTTAAATAAGTTCATTTGTATCATTTTTCCTAGATTACACATATAAGTGATATTGTATGATATTTGTCTTTCTCTGTCTGACTTCCTTTACTTAGTATGATAATCTCTAGGTTCATCCATGTTGTGGCAAATGGCATTATTTCATTCTTTTTTATGGCTAAGTAATATTCCATTGTAGGGGCTTTGCAGGTGGTTCAGTGGTAAAGAATCCACCTGCTAATCAGACCTGGGATCAATCCCTGGGTTGGGGAGATCCCCTGGGGAAGGAAATGGCAACCCACTCCAGTATTCTTGCCTGGGAAATCCCATGGACAGAGGAGCCTGACGGGCTACAGTCCATGAGGTTGCAAAGAGTCAGACACGACTTAGCAACTAAACAGCAACAACAAATATTCCATTGTATATAAGCACCATATCTTCTTTATCTATTCCTCTGTCAGTGGACATTTGCATTGATTTCATGTCTTGGCTTTTGTAAATAGTACTGCAATGAACATTGAGAAGAAAAGGGAAGTGTCTTGCTCTCCACTCTAAGAAAGGTAGAACTAAGTTCTAGATATAGAATCCACTGACTCTAAGAGTGGATCT